CCACGGCAAAGTCTGGGTGTAGCCGGTCGAGCGGTGACCTGAGGCGGCGGCCCATAAGCAGTTCAGCAGGACTCCTCCCTGTGGCCGCATGAGGGGTGATGTGTTGCACGAACAAGTATTCGGCGACCCGCTCATGCCAGTCTCCCCGGTCCAGGCGCGCCAGTGCCTCTTTTGTCGAGCGCACCATTCTTTCCGCTTGCCCGTTGCTGGATGGATGAAAGGGTGCCGTTAGGGCATGGCGGATGCCCAGTCCCAAAAGATACTGCTCAAACGTGCCTGACGTGAACTGCGGTCCGTTGTCAGAGACAAGGACATCAGGACACCCATGCGTTGCAAACAGGCCTCGCAGCACCCGGATGACGGCCTCGGTAGTGGTGGAGGGCATCAGGGCGACCTCCAGCCATTTGGAATAGGCGTCCACCACTACCATAAAGGTCCGGCCGTGAAAGGGGCCAGCCAGATCGATGTGCACCCTCGACCAGGGTGTCTTTGGCGTCTCCCAGGTGTGTCCCTTAGCTGCCGGTGGTGCAGGCCTCGACTCCTGGCACGCTTGACAGGCGGACACCCAGGCAGTGATGGCATCGTCCATATTAGGCCACCAGACGTAACACCGAGCCAACGCCTTCATTTTGACAATTCCCGGGTGGCCAACGTGCAGAGCCTCCAGGACGCGCTGACGGAGTCCCTGGGGAATCACGACGCGGTCTCCCCACAGCAGACAGCCGCGATGAGCTGAGAATTCATGTTGTCTGGTTGCGAAGGGCTGGAACTCCGATGCAAAAGGCCCTTGTGGCCACCCCCTCCACACCCAGTTGAGCACCCGGCTGATGGTGCGATCCTGGGCAGATGCGGAGGCCACAGTGGCAGCCGATACAGGCGCTGCCGGAAGATCCTCAATCAGAAGGAGCGATGAAGCTGGAGCCGGGTCTTCTACAAATGCTGGAAGAGGGCAACGGCTGAGGGCGTCGGCATGGCCCATCGATTTCCCCGGGCGATGGATGAGCCGGTAGTGGTAGGCAGCCAGGAAAACAGTCCAGCGCAGCATGCGTGGTGAGAGGACCGGTGGAGTTGGACGATCACCGGCGAGGAGGCCCAGGAGTGGCTTGTGGTCAGTGATGAGGTCAAAAGTCCTGCCATAGAGGTATTCATGGAACCTCTTCACTCCAGCCACAAGTGCCAATGCCTCCTTGTCGAGCTGACTGTAATTCCGTTCCGTCGGAGATAGTGTCCTGGAAAAGTAGGCGAGCGGTGCTTCTCTTCCATCTGGAAAACGGTGACTAAGGACAGCACCGATGCCAAAAGGTGAGGCGTCGCAGGCAAGGACCAGCGGCCTGGATTCACTGTACTGTACCAGCACACTGTCTGAAGAAAGGAGAGCCTTGACCGCGTTGAAGGCCGCCGTCTCCCGATGACCCCAGGCCCAAGGCGTCTTAGTGCTAAGGAGTCGGTGAAGAGGCTCAGCCACTGTGGCTTTGTGGGGCAGGAACATGTTATAAAAGTTCAGCAGCCCCAGGAATGCCTGCAACTCCGTTTTGTTCTTTGGAGTGGGGGCCTGCTGGATAGCGCGGATCTTGGATGTGGTTGGATGAAGACCGGAGGCATCGATAAGATAGCCCAGGAACTCTACCTGTGGAACGGCGATCTGGCACTTCTCCCTCTTTACCTTGAGCCCGGCCTCCTGGAACCTGGTCAGCACGGCACGGAGGCGCTCGAACAGCTGCTGGTGTGAGTCTGCAGACACCAAGACGTCATCAAAATATGGTACCACGCCCGGAAGCCCTTGCAGGAGACACTCCATAAGGCTTTGGAAGATGCCAGGAGCCACACTCACCCCGACCTGCAACCGGCGGCAACGGAATGCCCCCCGGTGGGTGACGATCGTCTGGGCTTCAGCAGTGGCATCATCGACTGGCAGTTGTTGATAGGCTTGGGCAAGGTCCAGCTTAGCGAAGACCTTACCCTCACCCAGGGAATGCAGCAGGTGTTGGACAACAGGAACCGGATAAGCGTGCTGCTGAAGTGCCTTGTTGATCGTGCACTTGTAGTCAGCGCAGATTCTCACCGACCCATCTGGCTTGACAGGCGTGACGATGGGGGTTTCCCACTTTGCGTGGTCAACCGGCTCCAAAACTCCTTGGGCGATCAGTTTGTCCAGTTGTTCGTCCACCTTAGCCTTGAGAGCAAAGGGAACCCGGCGTGGCTTTAGCTTGATGGGGGCGACTTGTGGATCAAGGCTAAAGGAGATGGGCGTACCTGTATATTGGCCCAAGGTGCCGTCAAAAACCTCGGCAAAGTCTTTGACCAGACCCTCAGTCTCTGCGTTAGAGATGCAGTTGATGCCGGTGACTTCCAGGCCGAGGGCATCAAACCAGTCTAGCCCTAGGAGGCTTGGCCGCTGACCTTCGACCACCACCAACCGGAGCAGGCCCGAAAAATCCTTGAAGGCGATCCGGAACCGGCCAACGCCTACCACGGGAATGTCGTTTCCCTGGTAGTCTCTCAGGTGTACGCGGTGAGAGTCGAGTTGCCTTTTGGACACTCTGGGTACCAGTCTTTTGATGGTGCTCCATGACACGATGGACAGGGCAGACCCGGTGTCGATCTCCATGTCACATGGAGCTCCTTCAATGAGCACCGTGACGTTCAGCTTGCGTCGCGTAGGCGAGTCGGTTTGGCCAATCGTGGTTCCAGACGGGCAGCGGCAGTTGGTGAGAGCGAAACAACTTTCCTTGGCAGACTGGAGTGAAGACTTGGACTTGCGAGTCGATGAAGGGGGGGTGTCAGACGGAGCCGATCGGCAGACCTTAGCGATGTGGCCCCTTCTGGAACACTTCCTACAGATGGCGTCTCTGAATCGACACTTGGCACGGGAATGGTTGCCTCCACAGCCAGCACATTCCGGTTGGCCCTTGGACTTCTGTTGGAACTTCCTGCGCTCCCGCTTTGTCTGGTGCACGTCATCGTCTTCACTGGAGGATGCCTCCTCACTGCTGGCCTCTTCATGATGCACCGGAACTGGCTCCCTAGCAAGACGCGGGCTGCTGGACTTGCGGATCTCCTGGGCGGAGCGTTCAGCAGCTTCTGAGGCCACAGCCTCCTCAATGGCTTTCTGTAGCGTGAGGTCTGGCTTGGCTAGGAGGCGCCGTTGCAGATGGATGTCCCGGACCCCGCAGACGATTCGATCCATCAGGGCATCGTCTAAGTCTCGGAACTCACAGTGCATTGCAGCCTGTCGCAGGGCGGTGGTGTAGTTGTTGATTGACTCCCCCTCTGCCTGGTTCCGGTGGTAGAACGCATGGCGGGCAGCAATCTTGGACGGCTTTGGTGCGTAGTGGTTGCGGAGCTTCTCTTGGATCGTGTCCCATGGTGTTGCCTGGACTGCTTCAGGCGCAACCAACGCTCGGGCCGTCTCAAACACCTCAGGCCCACAGAGGCTGAGGAATAGGCCCCGCTTCCGATCCTTTGATACTGCTGTCAGCTCGTTGGCTTGGAGGTAGCAGTCGAACCGAGCGAGGTAGGAGTCCCATGATTCAGAGGCTGGCGCAAACGGCGGTAGAGGCACAAGTGAAGCCATGATTCCGATGCCGGCGTGAAGGGCGATGGATGGAACACAGTGCTCTAGCCAGAACAGTCAGCTCTGAATTGGTTCTGCCCAGTGATTTCGCTCAGTGATTTCGCTCTGTGATTCAGCTCAGTGATTCAGCTCAGTTCAGAGGCTGGCCGCATCTGGCTGTGCTCTGATGTCCATCCATCCCATCCTCGTCGCCAGTGTTAAGTCGTGGGTTGACATAGCAGCCGGCACAGCGATTTCTTCAAGTAGCTCTTTATTCTGGTAAGCTGGAATAGAACTGACTGCGAACAGCTCAGCCGGCCTGTATTTATAGGCAGCCGGCTGTCAACATTGTAACCACAACAGCCCAGAGTTCCCGCCTAAAATAACTGGCGCGGACCTGAGTGAAAACTATCTACAGACCTGAGTGAAAACTATATACAGTATCCCCCTGTTGGCCCAGGGTGAAACTACACTACATAACATAAAATATATACCCACATCTCCAGGAGACTGTCCTCTACAAGATGGCATTGAACTGAGTCCAATACTTCGTTGGACACAAGATGCTGCAAATAGTAATCAAAACATATAGTGATTAAGCAGCCTGGGGTGTACACCCTAAAATAATCTTCGGGGCACTACAAATCTTTGGCCCACACCTCCATAAAAGAATTCCCTGCATCTGGTCCAATGCTTTGTTTGAGGGTAGAACATTATCAAGCATGATGCCCTTGTGCCAATAACCAGAATATGCAGACCAGAATCAGAAACTGCTGGTAAGCAACTGAAAATAATTTTGGGGCTATCACAAATTATTTACCCACACATCAGTGTGGTGGGGTGGCATCACTCATCTGATCTCCTGGCTGTTGAGTCACTGCTGCTTATCTGAGGAGGAGAGGATGAAGCAGCAGGGAGGTCAATGCAAACACACCAGCAAGACCACCAGATTCGCAGCCACCTCTCCCTTTCCTGCCTAGTAAACAGTGGCAACTCAGCTGTCAGATGTTTACGTGAGTGCCACCACCTCACCATGCTGTCAGCTGCTACCATACGTTTTGAAGATTGTCTTCTGCAAGTTGACAGTAAACTGTGGGGTCCAGCATTTTGTTTGGGAATCTATGCCAGTAATAGCCAAAATATGTAAGAAGAAAAGAAAACTAAACCAGTTCCTTATTTGTGTTTCCCTCTTTGGCTGTCATTGGCCAAGCATTGACGATGTTGCAACTCAATGCCATCTCATTGATGATTCTATCCTGGAGGTGCAGGTGTATCATTGGGGTATCATTTGCATCTACATCACCTGTTCATCATTCTTCTCCCATATTTTGGCTGTTAAATACTGCATCATCATCATTATATTATCTTGCTGCCACAAGATGTGGTGCCGATGGCTACTCACTTAGACAGTTTTAAACGGGGATTAGGCAAATTCATGGATATAGAATCTATCCAGGGCTGCTGATCACTGATAGCTGTATACTGCCTCCAGGATCATATGAAGCGTGTATCTAAATCCCAGTCGGCCGTTTTTGCGAAACAGGATGCTGGAATGGGCGGACCTTTGGGTCATCTTATATTTAATTCTGGTTGAATACTTTCATGACCGAGGACAGCGGCAACAATATAAGTGACGTGGGTTTTTTGGGTTAGTTTTAATGCAACCACGGAGGCTGCAGTCTGCCTCCGTAGCTCTACGTCTGGCAGCGGCGGCAGCAGCAGCAGCAATTGCAACGCTTTTTAACCCTTTCCCTGCAGACACAGCCCCGCGCCCCCGCCGCAGAAAGCTGCTCCTATCTCTCCGATCGCCCAGGTTCCCAGAGGCCTCGGTTGCTTCTTCCTTTCTGACGGCGACCCGGTATGTTGGGCAACTGCGCGATTGCATACACTTTGTCCCGAGGTCATCCATAATATGCAGGAAGCGCCGCCTTCGTCTGTCCGTGGGAGGCACATTGATCGAGGCCGCGTCCTGCTCTGAAGCCCACTTGCTGCTGTTGCAATGGATCTGTCGCGGATTTGGCACTTGGCGATTGTCTTTTGCCTAACGTGCGTGCTGGTCAAAGTCATCCAGTTGCATCGCCGGAGGCAGGAGCTACTGAAGGTTTTGAGCTGTTTCCCGGGGCCCCCCACCCACTGGCTGTATGGGAACATCTCTGAGGTAGGCGAAAAGAGAGGAGACTTATTGTGCATGGGAGAAAAGCAGCTTCAAATCCGGACGCCGCCGCAGCGCACAAAGCATCGCGAGGTGGGGGGGTGAGGGACGGGTCCAGCATCATCCGGAGAACCTGATACACCCTTCTGAATCCTCCACCCAGGGCCACCCGTCCCAGGGGCGTGTGAGTGCACGTAAAAACTAGCCTACTACGGTACAAAGGTGACATTTACATTCATTACTGTGCCCATTCCCCCTCCTTGGTGGATACTTTGCCCACAAGGAAATGTGGCTGAAAAAAGGGCTGAAAAAGTTTCCCCATCCCCGATCCAAAGAGGTGTTGCTTGCAGCTGAGTAAAATTCACAACTATTAAGAGACATTATTATTAATGGATTGTATCATTTATTAATAAATAAAAACACGCATTATTTACCAGTATGTGCTTTGATTAAACAACTATCTGACTTTTAGAAGACATCTGAATGCAGCCCTGTTTAGGGAAGTTTTTAATTTTTGATGTTTTATCACTTTTTATTTATTTATTAATAATAATAATAAATAATAATAATAATAATATTCTCTTGGGAGCCACCCAGATGGGTGGGTATAAATAATAAATTGTTATTGTTATTAAGTTAACAGAAGCAATTAGAACAAGGAAGATGCCTTTATATGGAGTCAGACCACTGGCCCATGGATTGGTAGCAACTCAGCCTGGAGGAAAAGGTTACATTGTAAATTTCTGAAGTATGAAGCTGAACCTGAATAAGAAAGGCAGCAGACCTTTGATCCTACCTGGTGACCTGAAAACACAATGACTTGTTTATCTAGATTGACCAATGTCACCTTGCATGTTTATGAACCTTAGGTGGCATTCAAGTGAGTTCTACTCAGACTAGACCCATTGAAATGAATGTTGATGATTAAGTTAGTTTGATAAATTTCAAAACAAAAAAAATTCCTTCCAGTAGCACCTTAAAGACCAACTAAGTTAGTTCTTGGTATGAGCTTTCGTGTGCATGCACACTTCTTCTGAAGTGCATGCACACGAAAGCTCATACCAAGAACTAACTTAGTTGGTCTTTAAGGTGCTACTGGAAGGAATTTGTTTTGTTTTGACTATGGCAGACCAACACGGCTACCTATCTGTAACTGATAAATTTCAGTGAGTCTACTTTGATTAAGGCTTAGTTTAATACCACCCCTTGAGCCATTTACATTAACAGCCACAGCCACATTTTGCGGCATGCAGTTTGTCTTCCCACACTTCTCTGATCAGCGATTGGGATAAAGTTCTGCTCAGATGAAGCAGACCAGAGACAATATATTGTTAAAGTTTGTGGTGTGCCTGGTCTCCCCTTCTAATTCCTGGACCCCCTTCTCATTTCTGGGTGCCAGATGCCGAATTTAGCAATGTCAAAATATAGGCCAATCCAGTTTTTCTGTGTTCAGGAAATAGCCTGGAGAATTAAGTCCATGGGTCTTGCTGTGGTTTATATCTTTTCTGTTCAGTTTTGTTCTGTTTATTCTTCCAGGCATTATTTCCATGTTCATATTCCCCTTGTGCAGTTACACAATCTCCATCACATATAAAATGCTTTTTCTTTACCAACCTAGTGATGACATATTTTTTTTTATTTCAGCAGGCATTTTAATTGAAATTTTATTTTATAGTTTAGTTTTATAGTTAAACATTCCAGGTTTATTCCTTCTCCCGTATTGTGCTGGATCCTAGTTCTATCACTCTCAAGCATAATTTAGATTGAATGTTTGTTCTGATCCCTTCAGGAAAATATTCCACCTTCGCCTCCTTCTTTGCTCTCTTAATTTGTTGCAGCTCTTACCTGTTTCCAAGGTTTTCCAGAAGGTAGAAAACTGGAGCCTTCTGTATCCATTTGCCTTTCCTTTGTGGTTTGGAAACTTCTCTGCCTGTCTAAATATCACACACCCTGATTATGCAAAACCATTACTCGCAAGAGCAGGTAAAAAAAAAAAAGGCATTGATATCTGGTTGACTGGGGTACATGTGCATTGTTGACATCCTAGTTATTCTGATACAAGTTGCAGATGCCAATGATAAGTTCCAGTTATCCACAGTGGGGAAAAGGGAAGTCACAGATGCTATATTATCCGCCAGATTTGCATGGTGTCCCACGTTGCCCGTAAGTAAATCTGACCTATGCAGCAGAAAAACCAGAATAGAAAAAGAAGTATGAAATTAGGCTAAAGGTGTGTGAAAGAAAGTAATAGAAGTGGAAAGAAATTGTAATTGAGTAGATTGGAAGTCAAACACAAAGGTGGGGTGAGGGGTGGTGGATGGTGATGGGGAAAGGAACTATTTGTGGGATTGAGTGTAAGTATGTTTGAACACTTTTAAGGATTGTATGAAATGTATGTTTGTATGCTTGTATGCTTGTATATGTGTATTAATGATGAACTATTTTAACAATAAAAACTTATTAAAAAAAGAAAAAAAAGAAAAACCAGGTTTCCCCAAAGGAATGGAATGGAACATCAGGAGTTGGGGAGCTGGTGGTTGCTTTATCTGGCTTTTGGTAAGCCACACACACAAAGCAGGAGACCCTTGTAGGACTTCTCAATGAAGGGGGCATGGTCGTAGTCAGGATTTATTTTATGGGGGGCAGCCTTGGGGGGGGGCAGAACCAAGTTATCTGTGACACAATTGGTCAGTTTGTTATTTTTACTTATTTACTCCCCCCCCCCCGGCTACATCCCTGGATAAAGGTAGGCTAGGAGGATTGGCTGTTTTCCAGCAGGCATTTAAATCAGCGCAATAATGCACAACAGCATTTAGTTGCTAGCTTATTCAATTAGAATTGCAAAAGATTTGCCTGTGTTCCTATCTAGATGGACCATGCAATATTCTGTGTGATTCTTTCACATGTACCATCATCCTGAATCATGTGGGAACTGGTTCGCTACATTAGTAAATGCTATGAGTGCTATGAGTTAGTACTGAGTTTTGTCTTCTTTGCCCTTCTTCACTTTCTCTCTTGCCCTTTACAGAACCAAAGGACAGCTTGGCCTATCGGAACATAACTCCATGGATAGGTATGTATGTTTGAGGCCTTTATTATGAAGAAGAATTAATGTAAGTTCATAACAGGCTGTAAATACTGTAAATAGCATAGGTTCTCTAGGAATTAAAAAGGTGTACATTCTGGGACTGTCGGTGTGGGCGTTCCACATCTAGATTTTAAATGTTTTGGGTTTTGTTTTTTAAAATTTTCCTCTTAAGTATACTGCCCATGACATTTATTTTGGAAGATATTTAAATAAATAAAAAAAGAATCCAATAGGATAGTGAATTGGATCCAGATACTAGCTGGGCTATTTAGGTGTGATTTCTGAAAACTAGAAGTAAAATCTACAAAGTCTTATGAACTAATAAAATTGTAGACAGGGGAAAATGCACTGTTTTGTGAGCAGATTTCTCTTCATGCAGTGGGACTTCACCATCCTCTCCTCCTCCCTGCAGCCCTCATGTGCCCTCAAAATCTTCCCTCGGGGTCTCCAACCACCAGATCTGGTTTTGAGAGTGTGTGGGAAGCTGCAGAGGAGAGGAGGGGAAAGTTCCTTTGCACAAGCAGAAGCCTCCTTGCACTAGCAGGAATTGGAATGTGGGATACCACCCTGTTTGTTTGCAATACTTTAGCTACATTTAACTTTAGATATTGGAATGGACATTTTATACACACGGCCACAGCAACAATTCTACGTTTCAAGGTTTGAATTCCAACATCAATCCCCATACTTATTTTCAAGAAGAGGGTGGGGGAGTAAAACTATTGTGTAATGCAGTGTCACCTTTGAGCACTGAAGGCATCAGAACGAACAGGTGGCATGGCATTGGCTTAAGGCAACTTGCTGTGTTTGAAACATGAAATCCCAGCTCAAACATGAACCTCCACCTATTTTTATAGAGCTGCTACAGGCGGAAAAGAGTAAGAGAGAGAAAGGAAAGAAAGGAAGGAGGAAGGAAGGAAGGAAGGAAAGGGGGGGGGGAGAGAGACCTGTAGAGCAAGGAGCAAGTATAGAAAATTCACAACAAGTTCACTCAAACCAGACAGACAGCAAGTAAGCCATAAATGCAAACATGAAATTGAAAAGGCCTGATTGATACTACAAAATCAAGAACCTTAGGGCAGATTGTGACAAAATGTGTCTATTTTTTGCCATTTGGCTACAATTTGTTGTTGTTTAGTCGTTTAGTCGTGTCCGACTCTTCGTGACCCTATGGACCAGAGCACACCAGGCCACTCCTATCTTCCACTGCCT